TTATTTCACTCTCTTGCTTAAAATTTCTATATCTTCTAATTGGCAAATTAAATTCTTTACAAAAAACACTCAAAGTCTTGTTAAGTGCTCTCTTCTATTCTCTATCATCTATGTTCACTTTTGCCCATATGTGCCCTGGGCTCCTGTCATATTGAGACATTTCTCCATCTCCAATATACCAGCTTCTGCATAACCTCTGGGTGTCTGCACTGGTGGTTTCTTTTGTCTATGATACCCGCCCCCCACCATTCATAGTGCTTTTCAGGTATTATCTTCATCAAGTAGGCTGCCCTGACACTTTCTGTTCCCACCTTCTCAACTGGATTAGGAACCTCTCTTATGTGTTCTCAGACATCCTATGCTTAACTTTATCAAAGGCATGTTGTGTCAAATTATGAACATATTTTTTTGAGACTGAAAGCCCTTGAAATTCTGGAACTGTATCCACTGTGTAACATTTGTTTGCTATATGATAAGCACTCTACCAATGCTTGTTCATTTTGATAAACATTTATTAAGTGCTTTCTACATACCAGGTATATATTCTGTGCTAATGATATGAAAATGAGTAAGTATAGACCTTCCTTATGAGGAATCTAGTAGGGGAGAAAAACATATGAACAGATAATTTCAGTACAAGTTGGCATGTGATAGAACATAGAATGCGCATTTGCAGTAGGAATACTAAGGAGGTGTATTTAGCCTATTTTAGAGATCCAGGGAAGTTTCTGGAGACGTGATGTATGAGCTTGTGCTATTATCCAGGTGAAAAAGAGTGGGAGGGAATTCTAGGTAGAGTGAGAGCATGATCAAGGGTATGGATATGTGAGAGAATAAGGTATGCAGGGAAGAGCAAGTAGTCCAGTGTTACTAAGGCATAACACAAGAGGTGAGGATTGGTCGAACATAAGCCTAGAGGCAGGATCATAACTTTCAGGATCTTACCTGTCATTTCTAAGATTTGAACTTTATTCTGCCAGCAATAGTCTTCTGTTGGAAGATGTTCAGCAAGGGAATGATGTGATCACATCTGCTTTTGAGGAGATGATTTTGGCTGCACTGCGGATGATGGAATTAAGCAAAAAGACTAGTGGATCACTAAACTAGTCCTATTAGGACCTGAACCAAGATTATGATAGTAGGAATAAAAGCATAGTATGGGGTCAAAAAATATTCAGGAAATTGAATGTAATAGCTAATTTGATATGGAACGGAAAAGCAGAATGAAGGGTTTAGAATGTGCCAGGTTTCTGGCAAGAGTGGCTGGGTGAATGTTATGCTCGGACAGATCAGGATGTGAGAAAAAGAGCAGACTGGGTGGCAGTGGGTGGATACTCAGTTTTGCTTTGGATGTGCTTGCTGATTTTGAGGTACTTTTAGGACATTTGGCTGGAGCCATCCAATAGGCTGGTGAAAATAATGGGTCTGGCACTTAAAGGAGATATTAGATTTAAAAATATTGTTTTGAGAATCAGCAAAATAAAGGTGTTGGTTAAAACCATAAGAGTGAATTGCATTACAAAGCTGACTACATAGACAGTAAAAATAATGGGCTTTGGAGCTCCAGTGTTTGGGCAGGAAATGGACAGAAGAATAGAAACCTACAAATATAACTAAGAAATAAAGGAGAACTTACAAAGAGAACTCTCATGAACAGCAAGGAAGTAGAGACTCTCAGAAAGAGAAAATTCTGAAGTGTATTTATACAATATGTTTACCATTAATGGCATGAGTGCAATTTTGGTTGAATTTCCTGGGCTCATAATGACAGAGTGAAACAGACTGCAGTAGGTTAAAAAGGTAAAGGGATGTGAGGATACTGCAAGAATGAGTTACTATTTCTTCTTCAAAACTCTTGTCTGAGACAGGAAGAAGAAAAACGAGACAGGAACTGGACACAAACTTATGATCACAAAAGCTATTTTTGATTTTTGTTTTTCCAGTAGATGAGAGAGGCTTGATTATATTTATAGGCCTAAGGGAAAGCGTAACAAAAAAAGGAAAAGGATGAAAATATAGGAGAAATTAATAATCCTAATCAGTGCTCTAAAGTGCTGGAGGAAAGAGGAAAAAATGGTATCAAGAACACAGATAGAAAATGTCCAGCAATTGAAAATTAGTTAAACAAATTATGTTGTATAAGAACTTTATTGCCATATAAATATTACCATATATTGTATGGCATATTAACATTAATTTCATTATGTATGTGGCGTATATATGGTATTACATTGCCATATTTTATTTTTCATGATATATTTTTAGGTTTAAAAAGTTGATTACAGAACAAGATAGCAATTTCTTGGCAATTCTCCTCTCTTTTTCCTTCCTTCTCACCTTGGTCTTGGAACAGAAAAGCCTTTCTGCCTCCCCCAGAGTCTGGTTGCACTGGAGGAGAGCAGAGTGAAGTCCCTTCTTAGTTGAGAAGAAGCTCAGCTCTGTCAAGTAAATAACACCCTCTGATGTTGTTGCTGGGTGATGGTCCCTTGGCTAAAGCACTGGTGCCAAACGGGTTTTGGAATTTAAAATTCTAAGTTTAGAAGTTTTCTCACATATAGGGTGACTCTTCTAAACCAATTGAACTTTCTGAGCATATGGGTAATACTTGCCAATTTTAAGCTTCGCAGTAAGGTTATCTAACTGGGCCTTTTTTTTAAGGGTAATCCATGAGAAAAGTATCTTTAAAGACTTCCTCTCGGGTTGGTCAGGTTTTCCAGGTTTCAAAATTCTTGTAGTTCTCTTTCTGAGTAAGGCTATGTAGTTTAGCAAATAAAAATACAGGATGCCCAGGTAAATTTGAAGTTCAGATAAATTTAAAGTTTAGATTTAAAAAATGTAAGTATGTCTAGGTCCTGTGGGATATTTGGGACATACTTATAACAAAAACTATTTTTAGTGTCTTTAATTTATCGGAACTTTGATTTAAACTGAGACTCCTGTCCGTATTTTATCTAGCAACCCTATTCTTGAAGGATAAATGCCTTGCTGGCAGCATTTAGACAGCCAAGTGAGAAATGACCTTGCAGGGTGGATGGCAGTGGAAGGAGACAGTCTCAGCATTCAGCATCATTCATTCATGTAATCTTTTTCAACTACATCTTTTAAAACCTCTATCTAAACATCATCTTTACCCTTTCTGGAAATGAATGCCCCTTTGCTGGAATAAAGAAGGGAGAGTTGTATCTGAGGCACCCTTAACGACTTTCAACTAATTTTCCTTATGTTAGCAAGCAGCTTTACCAGCTCCTGAATTAGCCAATGCTCCCAGAGATGGAAGCTTTTGAGTATTCTGCCGTGTAGATAGAGATGAGTCTTGGTTTTCCCTACTGCTAGTTTAGGACTTGGCTTTCTTAGGCTTGCTCACTCAGTTAGTACTTTTGTGTCGACATCTCAGCTTCTAAAATTATACTCTGGTTTATCCTCCTGGTTTCCTATCCTTCTGGGTTTATAGCTTAAAAAATATATGTATTAGTATAAGTAGTATTTCAAGGGAACAAAAAAAAACATGTATTTATTCTACCTTTACCAAAAAGTTATGTGTATGCCATCTTAACACACTTGCCCTAAGCGTTTGCTGTCCAACTTCAAAAGCAGAAGCAATGAGACCAGTTAGAGGCTATTGCTTTGGTCAGGCAAGAAATGAAGGTGGCTTGGAATAGGCTTAAAAGATGCAGTACAGAGAGAGTTAAATGAATATGAATCTTTATTTTGGAGGCTTTTCTCTCTGCCTGGTGAGATAATTCATATCTTTAGATTATACATTCAAATAGCTATGTAGTGTAGTGTAGTATCATATAACTATGTAATTTAGTGAGAACTGTTTCAGTCCTTGCTCAGATAAAAAGTACGTGACTTTTCCAGGTCACAGGGGTTGTTGTCTTTCACATCAATTCTAAGGTTCACTACAACTTTAAAGTTCTTTTAGTGTGTGAACTAGGCAATAAAATAGGGACTAATCTAGTATTTAAATTAAAGCTTTTTAAAGAATTGAACACTTTTAATTATTAAAAGCATTGCTAACTTAAGAACAATGAGAGTATACTTGTTCTGGCTACAGACCAAAGATTTCATTGCTTCTTTATGTGGCTTAATTTGTTTGACAATGAAGTGCAGAAAACACCAAGGTCTAAAGTCCTTTATTTTTATTACTAGTTGCCATAGATAGTCAGCAATGAACTGGACTAATCAATTGAGGAAATAATATTATTTTACCAAACAAAGGGACATAGGCATTTTTTTCAAGGTCAGAAGAATGTTTCAATTGGCTTTCCTAGGTCTTAATCATTTGCATTTACTTTCCTAGATTTGTACTCTGTTGAAGTGTAAAACGATGGACTTGCACACTTGTGGTGACTCAGTTGAAACTGCTTCCACCAGGTTTGAAATGTTTTCCCTTAGTGGCACTTTTGGAACCCAGAATGTCTTTCCTGAGGTGTTGCTGAGTGAAATTCAGCTTGCACCAGGAGAATTTCAGGTAGGAATTGCTGCTTAATGTTGCCAACTCCTTTCATGGAAAAGGAACCACTTTTTGAATACAAAACCTACTCAAGTGCATACAAATATCATAAAAATCTCCATTTGAAAAGGGTAAAATTGTCTTTAGGGATTGCAAAGGACATTGAGCAGGCTGCATTTCTTGTATGGAAAGCCTTAGTATAATGATTAAATTGTCCTTGAAAATAAAGAAAAATGCTCTTGTGGGGACTGGAGGGACAAGGCTGGACTGTTTAAGGTCTGTTGAGTAGGAAGAATACTCAAGAAGAGTTTTAGGACCAGTGCCACCAGAGGAAGTTGCTCTGCATCACCGGGCAGTGATGGCCTAGGATAGTTACAAGGAATTCCTCTCATGGTATGGGTGACCACAGGAGGAAAAGAAAGATGAAAAAGCTGAGGAGAGAGAATCTGCATGGCTGATGTTGGCAAGGAAGCAAAAACTGTTTTTTTAGAGGCCAGAAATAATTTCTTACTGCACAAGCACTCTGCCTAGCCATATTCTTCTATTGACTTTTCCTGCAGAGTCTGCTCTCACTCCCCTTTCTTTGTGGAAATAGCTGCTATAGTGTATTAGGGGCAATGGGCAGGCTGGGACACTGTGGTGAGCCATTGACAGGGATGATAGAAGCTCAACTCAAACTCCTCTTTGTCAATCCCTTCTGATCATTTGGAAAAGTCTTTTTCTTTAACTTTTCTTCTTTTTCTTCTCCTCCTTCTCCTCTTCCTCCTCCTCCTTCTTCTTTTTTTTTTTTTTTTTGTTGGAGGAGTCTTTATCTTGTCTGAGATGACCAGATTTCTCTCTTATATACTTCCAAATCTATTGTTTTTTTTGTTTATTAACTCATGGGATGCTTTGTCAGATACGTAAATTATAAGATATTGATTCTAGGCATTTCAAAAATAAATGAATCAGTGCCAATTCCATAGATTCAATTTTTCTTGAACTTTGGGCCATTTCAAATATTTCTGATAACATAGAACCTAGCCATTATTTTTATTATTTCCTCATCCAGTTGTACTGAATTTTAATAATGAGTTGTGGGTTGTATAACTTAAAAGTAGAGCCAATGAACTTCTCTGTGTTTTAATTAGGTATCAAGTGATGGACGCTTGTTTAGCCTGAAGCCATTATCTGGACCTGTCTTGACAGTAACTCTGTTTGGGAGGTTGTATGAGAAGGACCCAGCATCAAATGCTTCATCAAATGTCATGGCACAAGCACTAACAGTAATGCTTGTAGTTTTAACAACTATTGTCATTAAGTTAGTAGAATCTTTACATTTTCTCTTTTTTATTTGAATAATTTAAAAAATGATGGATAAAGAAAGAAAGATGGGTCTGAGCTTTTGATATTAGTGGTTGTGGCCTCTAGTACAAGTGAATTACTAATATTATTTTTCTTTATTTAGACATACCCACACACACCAGACAATGAGAACCAGATAAATAGTGAAAACATTTTGAAAGGTAAAATCTGTAAAATGAGGATAACAATTGTACCCACTTTCAGATTTTTGGTGGGAGAATTAAATAAGTTAATACATTTAAAGTGCTCCAATAAGTTCCTGACTCATAGAAAGCACCTGTATATGTTAGCTATCGAAATGATATATGATTGTCACTGTAAAACCAATTGTGATGAACTTATTGCTAAAATTATATTACATCTGATTTTTTAAAGTGCATACATTTTCCAATAGTCAAGCAACCCTGCATATTTCAATTAGAAAATCAATGAATTCAGCATCAGCTAATTGGCTTTGGCCTGATACCCTCCACTGATATATCCCGGAGGGCATCTGAATTTACATCTATAAACCTGCTAGAAGGCTTTCACATTTTTTGTGTTTTACAGTGATAATTTACTGCCAATTTAGTGCTTTGCCTAAATTTTAGCATATTAATAGGGTAGCTCTAAAGTACACATTGACCAAATCTTGCCTGTTACCTGTTTTTGTGTGTCCTGTGAGCTATGAAAGGTTTTTATGTTTCTAAATGGTTGAAAAAGAAAATCAAAAGAAGAATAATATTTTGTGACACATGATAATTACGTGAAATTCAAATTTCAGTCTCCATACCTAAACTTTTACTGAACATAGCCACATTCATATGTTTAGGTATTGTTAATGGTTATTTTCGTGCTCCAGTGGTGGAGTTGAGTAATTGTGTGATATAGACCATAGGGCTAGAAAAGCTGAAAAACTTTGGTAGCTCCCACTCTAAAGTATTAAATAGCAATGGATTTTAGTATTGAAAACCTTTAAAACAAGTCAGTGGGAAATTGCCCTTGAGCAACTCTCTTGTAATAAAATATTTTTATTTGCTTTGAATTATATTACCATCACAAAAAAATTACCATAATTAACATATGAACAAATATGCTAAATAAACTAATACTCCAAACAAGTGAATATAATTTTTATTAGCATGATGATTTCTATTCACTGTAAGATACCACATCATGAAGTATTTTGTTACATTTGGTATGTTCTAAAATTCATGAAAGAAATTATAATATTTTTATTTTCACATTTTTCCTGGAAATCAACTAAGAACTGTTCATCTGAATATACTACCTGATATTTTTCCCTGTGACAAACTTACTAGCTTATCTTAGAATAATTTTTCATAAAATTAAACATTGCTGCAGTGAATTTACTTTTTTAAAGGTGGCATTTACTACATCCATACTCAGCTCTGATTACTTTTTCATTCTGGATTTCTTTAATGCATATATGTATATTTTATGATAGTTTTGATGTGCTTTTTAACTGTAATTTAACTTTATTCTTCTTCAAATATTTGTGATGCTCATTTGATACAAACAACACAATTCCAAGAAAGACTAAGGCTCAAACACAGTTTTTTATCTTTTAATATCTTGATGAGTTTGAATGGTCCAGGGAGCAATTTTTGACACTTCCTCATTTAAAGATTACAATTTATGTTATCAACTTCATGATGATGTAAAATACTCACACACACACACACACACACACACACACACACACACACTCTTACTGGTAGCCAGCTTCCAAGATGGCCCCCAGTGAACCCCATCTCCAGGCTCCATGGAGAGATTCTTCATGATTAACTGTTCTGCAACTATTAGCCTTGTCGTCTGCAATAGATCTCAATTCACTATCTCTTTAATTATAACTGATAGCTTTTCTTCAGTTCTGCTTAAAAGTTCCAGTGATTTAATTTGTTTGCTTTGTTAGTTATTTATGTGAATAATATAGTTCAGTTTTCTTAGGGGCTGAATTGTATGCCCCTCACCCCCGACCTGATTTATTATGTTGAAGTCCTAAGTCCATACCTCAAAATGTGACTGCATTTGGAGATAGTCTTTGAAGAAGTAATATGAGGTCATTATGATGCAGGATGGGGCGAATCCCCCTGAGTGGGGACTCAAGCCCTGCACTAAGAGAAGAAAGGTCTTTGGCTTTGTGCAGGAAAGAATTCAAGAGCTAGCCAGAGTTAGAGACAAAGAAAAGTCTATTAGAGAAGGACCAACACTCCATAGACAGAGTATGGTCTTCTCTCAGAGTCAGAGAATGACAGTCCCTTAGTATTTGGTGAATTGGTTTATATCTGTTTCTTAGCTTCTATGTAAAATTACTGATTACAAGGAGTAAAGAATGGGATAAATGATTGGGTTTATCTTTTTTGTAGAAGGTACAGCTTTGTTTTCCTTTTATGGCATGGGTAAGTTTTAACAGCATGGGTAAATAGTCGTTAGTAATCTCTTCAGGAATCTTCCTTTGTTCTGTAGGTTCCTTGGGGTCTGGCCTTATGGCCGAGCAACCAGGTTCAGTGTCTAGCAGTACATAGCATGCTGTAAATTCAACCTGTTTCCATATTTAGTTAATTTGTGTCATTCTCATGCTTCTTTTCTATGTTAATTAGGGTGAGCCCGAATCCAATATGACTCATATTCTTATAAGAAGATGAGACCACATGAAAACACAGAAGAAGATGGCCATCTTGGAAAAATACAACCCCGCCAACACTTTGATCTAAGACTTGTAGTCTCCAGAATCATGAGAAAATAAATTTCTGTTGTTAGAGCCAGTCTGAGGTACTTTATTATGTCAGCCCTAGCAAACTAATAGAAATTCCAATCCCTTCTCTCTCTCCAGTTTCTACCGTAATCTGAAGCTTGTACAAAATGGTTATCTAATAAGAATATCCAGCTGGCTGAGCTCCCCCAGACTCAACTAGATACTCTTAGAGAAGCATTGCTGATGAGTTGGTAATGAAGCCATCAGATCAATGAAGATCCTCTGGAAACAGGAAATCAGAGTCTCATTGATGAAATTATATGTTTAACATGACATTAAATGTTCTTTTTAAGTAACAGCAGAATCTCTTGACATTGCACAACCTAGTGAAACAAAGAACATCTTTTAAGTCAAAACATCTATTAGCAGATAAACTATTTGCATAGCCCTGATATTAGCCTTGCACTGTACAAAACATAACTTTCTGCAAAGGAGAGCAGAGCACTTGCAATAATGATCCATGCCAGCAATACAACATTTCGAAATAAACATTTTTGTGGCAGATGCTTTTCCTAAAAAATACTATATCGTCCAATAAATATTTGAGTGAAATTTATCTTGTGGTTTTGGGTGACATTAACTGACTTTTAAAAAAAATGTATTAGAAAATAAGAAAGCTCCTTATGTTTTTAGGAACAGGAATCATCACTACAAGCCTCAATACCATCATACAATTTTAATTTAAAGCTGAAAACATGCTAATCTATCAGCAATAGGCTTAAAATATTAAATGCTTCAAAAAAAATCCTAAATGCTTCTTTTCTTTTCAATATTGATACACTGTGACACAACAAATTACTTCCAAATTTAACAGCTTAAGCAATAAACATCATTTTATAGTTTCTGAGAGTTAGGATCTGGGAGACGTTTAGCTGGTTTTTATGGTTTAGGGTCTCTCTAAAGTTAGTCATCTCAAGGCTCTACTGAGGCTAGAGACTGCTCCTAGGCTCACTCACTAGGTGTTGACAGGCTCACTTCCTTGCTGGAATTGGCTGAAGGCCCCTGTTTCTCACCACATGGGCCTCTCCATAGACTGCCTGAAAGATTTTGCAAGAAGGCAGCAGCTGGATTCTAGAATGAATGGAGTGGGGGTGGGGGGAG